GGAATGCCATGGGAGGGATATAACGAACCCCATGAGACAGGATTGCAGAGCCAGGGCCGGAGAGTCACGTCAGGCTAAGCTAAAGCAAGCAAGCTGAAGTTTACATTTGAAAGGGAGCAGCAATACCGACCTACCCCCAAGGTAGGATGCATGCAATCGTGAACTCCCGCCGGCCCTGGAAGGTCACCTCAAAGGGAACCCACCTCCGGGTTAGAGTGAGGTTTTTAATGACTCAAAAAAAAATAAGACAAGGAATAGGCTCAGTCCAGAAGCAGTCGGAGGGGCAGCATCCTTGGAAGCGCCTGTTTATGGACAGAGCTGAGCTCTGCTGTAAGGGATAACGTGGGCACGGAGCTGTAATTTGGGCTACAAGGCTGGTTGTCCCACCTCTCGTGCAGCTTCACCCATTGCCCGGCTGCTGGTGTCAGCTGGGAGCTCATTTAGCTTCAGCTCTTCAGCTTTGCCTGAGTCAGAGGCTTTTCTCCAGGAGGGCTCTTTGGAAGGTGTATGCATGTACATAATGATGTCACCGTCTTGTCTTCCCTCCCTCACACTGTTTTTTTTTGGAATGCTGCACATGCCCTGAGGATGCTCTCCCTACCAGGCAAAGTCCTGTGTTCACATGCTGCTGCAAAAATGGGGCTGAAAGATGTTGGTACAGAGCTCAATGCATAAACACCTACAGGAATCAGTGGAGACTGCAAGCCCCACCATAAGGAAGGTGACCCTGGGGAGTTGCATGTCTTGCCCGTGACTGCAGTACATGGTAACAGTCCAGGAGTGAGGCAGGCTGGGGCAGTAAGGATGTTAATGAGAATACTTAATTAGTCTCAATTGAGGCATGAAGTATGCAGCTGCACTCAGCCATTAGCATGAAGGGAGATGGAAAGGCATGGAATAACCATGATCCCGGCCCGTGCCATGAGCTGTCTGCTGGGCACAGCACCACGTTAGCTCCTGGCCATGATGGGTTTGGAGCAGTGGGTGGACATCCCTCATCCAGCCAACAACGTGCAGCCAAAGCAATCACACATTTCCCTGATAGTGTCCAGGGGCACTGGACAAACATCAAGCTCCTGAACATCCCTACTACATCCATCTGCACCAGGCAAACATCACTCTGTGACACCTAAAGCCTCTGGCCCCACTGATGAGGCTGTTTCCTTGGCACAGTGTGTGTTGGCAGCAGTTCCCTGATGTTCCTGATGCAAAACTCTCTCTGCACAACCTGCACATCCCTGCTCCTCTGATGCAGGAGCTCACCCTGCAGTAACATGTTTTACAGTCATATCCACTGTGCCTCACTGCACCAACCCAATGGAGGGGAGAAAAATGAGTTTCTGAGTGCTCACACCTGCACGAGCACCATCAGCCAGGCCATTCTGCATTTCCCATGGGATTTTTTGTCAGGCAAAGCTATTGCAAGAATAAGTCCCCACCTGAGACCCAGCTGGGATCCAGCGAGGGGGAGGAGAGGGGCATGGGGCAGCACAAGGGACCGAGAGGGAAGATCCAGGCAGGAACTGAGCCCAGAGACTCAGGGAGGACGGCTCTGACCAGCACAACCTGCCACCAACCACCTCTCCTCCAGCACATGCCAAACCTGATGGCTCCTCTGGCTTCCCTGAGGCTGCAGGGAACCACCTGTACCTCCCACATGGGGAGGTTTGGGTCAACACTAAATTATATGCACTAGAATTGAAGCATCACCTCTATTCCACCTGTCAGCCCTTCCTTCTCCTCCCAGCAAGAGGAGCAGCCGTCCCCGCTCTCACCGCCCTGCCTGCAGGACTCGGCTGCCTCCAGCTCCCAATTCCATCATTTTCCAGCTGCTCTCTGGTCCATCATCCCACCAACACCCTGTCTTCACCTGGCCCTGCCTCCGACTCCTTCTGAGCCCCCGGAAGAGAGTGAAAATGGCCATTTTTCTTGTTTTCAACTCCTGCTCATGAGTACAACATTTCTGATAATAATAATCATAATCATAATAATCATAGTACTAAAAACAGTATTTACAACAAGCTCCAGGTCAGAATTACACACCAAGCAAACACTCAGCACCACAGAGAGTAGGACAGGGTTAATATCTCGCAGATACCTTCTCAGATCCCACCAACGCGGGACACAGACATTTGACAGTTTCAACCATTTCTTACACACAAACATTTCATTTAAATTACTTTTTAAATTTTTTTTTAAACTTTTTAAAATTTCTCGTCACTATATGGATGAGGTGATGCTGGCGGTGATGCCGCGCTCTACACAGATGCTTATCTAAGACAGCTGCTACTATAAACTGATCATTAGCTACTGTTAAGAAATTCAACCCTCAGTTTCCTTCTTTGCCCTAAATCTTACCTTTTTTTTTTTTTTTTTTTTTGTCACTGACAGCACAGGAGCTTTCCAACAGCCCTGTCTTCCCCCCAGCCCAGGTGGAGGGGTTTGGGAGTAAGGTAGCCCTTCCTTTTAGGAGCACAGTCCCTGACATCCAGCCATGGCCATTGAGGGATCCCTCACACATCCAGCTGGGAATTCTGTGGAGATCAGCAAAGAGCCCTGGGATTTGGTCTCCAGCAGTTTACCCTGTAATGGGCCCAAAGAGCCACATCCATCTCTGGAAAGAGGGAAGGATGATTATTCTGTTCATTAGAAGGCTATTTCACAACCATGCACTGTCTCTTTTGGATTTGCTTTCCTAACAGAGTGAAATCCTGTGTTGTGGGAGCCCTGGAGAGCCTGCAGAGTGCCCTCTCCCAGGGCTCCCACTGAGCCAGGGATGCAGTCACCATCTGCGGTTCTCATGGGCTGCTTGGCCAAGACCTGTTGGTCCCTGCTCAGCTGGGGAGAGAGCGACTCAATCTGACAACTCCTTCAGCCCACAGCCAACCAGGGAGTCAGGCAGTGCCCACCCCAACCGGGGTTTGCTGTGATGTGGTACCCAGAACTGAGCTCTGGGTGGAGACCATCACATGCTTCCACACAGGCTCCCAAAGAACCACCCAAAGATGAGGACTTTGTGTCACTGCCTGCCTGGGCTGGCTCTGGGTGCAGCCAAGAGATGGAGGTCCTGCACGCTGCAATTCCTGAGCCATCCATCCCTTTCCTTCCTCTCTCCTACCACTAGCAAACAGGGGGCTGCTCCCTATTTAACTTCAAACACAGAAATTATCACTTCCTTCCCGTTATTCTGAAACTGATATTTCGCTCAGAGCAAATACCAAGAGGAGGAAAAGCCCCGGATAAGAAATCCGTATCTCTGTGACACTGCTGGTTGAATTTATTAATATCTTAAATTATTTTTTTTACATGAGTTTAAGAAATATTTTTTTTAAAAAAAGGACAAAACCCTCCAAAGAAGCTGTTTGATTGACTGATCGACTGATTGATTCTCTATTTCATGTGAACTAGTTGCTATTCTGCTTAGAGGTCCCTATGATCTGTGAACCCCCACAAGCACTGACGATTAAGGATGCAGAGAGAAGCGTGTAGCTGGGGGAAGAACACCGGGGGGGGGATGGAGAACTGAATGTAGCATCTAGACAAACAAAATAAAATGTGTTGGTTGGTTGATTGGTTGGTTTGTTAACAGGAATCAGGTGCTAGATGTGTAGAAAAGCCCTTTATCCAGAGATCTCCTCCCGCTGTTCCTTGTTCCTGCGGACTTCAGCTGCGTGCAGTTCCTGCAAAGATGGGAGAGATGACACCAGGCTAACACTTCCTGCTCTTGCTAGCTCTGTTTTCTTCCTGCACGTAGGATTTGCCTCAGACATAAAAAAGAGACCTGTTTCCCACCCAATGCACCCCAAGGGCTGTGGGTTACACCTGCAAGGAATGAAGCATCGTCTGCAGGAACCTGGAGTGCAGGAACCTACAGCAACATGCTCATGGCTCTCCTGTCCTGTAAAGCTCTTTGGCCACACAGCCCATGGACATAAGATGGGCCTGATCCTGTGGCTGTGAATGTACATTTATCAGGATTACTCAGACTATGTTCTCTACTGACCTTGAAGGACACATCCCCCACTTCCTTGTGCTGCTCCACAGCTCCTTTTCCACCAGCAACACTGGGATCCACTGGGACCAAGCCCCAACATGGTCCCACAGGGACTAGACCCCAATCCCTCCATGAGGATCAGCACCCACAGCACCCAGCCCTCTCCCAGGGCACCACACTCACCTTCTCGCGGAGCCGCTCCCTCAAGGCGGCGAGATGTGCTTCACGGATCTCCCTGCTCAGCTCCATCTTGTAGTTGAGCTTCTCCTCGGCCAAGCGGCTGAAGTTGTTGTTCTCCTCCAGCGCCTTGTGCAGCACCTCCCGCTCGTGTTCCCGCTTCTCTGCCAGCTGCTTCAGCACCTGAGCCTCCTGGGTCTGCCAGGGCAAGGCATGGGAGAGGTGTAAGGTGACTGGAGAGCCTTCAACTCCCCAGAGAGGCTTTCTGACCAGCTCCTCTGCTCAAAACACTCTGTCACTCTCCTCCATCCTATAACACTCTTGCTTGGAAAATGCTTTTGACATCTTTTTCCTGTTATCATAGAATCACAGAATCCTTGAAGTTGGAAAAACCCTCTAAGATCATTGAGTCCAACAATTCTCCCAGCACTGCCAAGCCCACCACTCATCCATGTCCCCAAGTGCCACATCTACACAATGGTAAAGATGGACTCCAATTCCTTGCCTAAACCAGGCTGCAGAACCTCATTCCATGACTCCCATGTCTCACCAGACAATTTACAGTGGAATATAATAACAAGTGTCAGAACACTCTTCCTAGCCACTTTAGATTGCTCCTGCTAAGCCAGTTTTAGGGTTTGGTGCAATTACTACCTGTCACAGAAATGTCATTGCCTCTACAGGACATGTCCTTACCTTCCTCCTCTCTTCTGCAGCCTCCAGCCTCCTCTGCAGCTCCTCCAGAGACAGGTCCTTCTTCTTGGGAGGGGAGGAAAGGATTGGACTCTCCGGAGATAAATCTGAAGGGGACTTCAGGATCACTTCGAAGCTCTGGCCTGATGCCCTCTTATCCAGCTGCTTCACCTCCATATCTTTGTGAGGGAAAAAAACCCAGTGACTCTGTGGCCCTGTGCCACTCAGGAGAGCATTCACCTGAAAGCATCAAGCTCCTCACATAGGAATTAGGGTGTTCCCATGTCCTGACCTGTGTGATTTTGTTTTATCTCCAGAATTTCCCAGTTAGTCACTGGCTTCATTCCCTCCCATGTCAATGCAATTAACTTAAAGTCACAGCACAACTACAAAAAGCCACATTGTTGTTAGTTCCTTGTTTGTCACTCCAGCATGGAGCAGAGAACTTCTGTTGTTCCCATGTTGCCTTCAGGAGCATCATCCAAACACTGCTGGAGCTCCTGCAGGAGCAGGTTACCTACCTCCATACTGGTAGATGGTATTGGGATGGGGCTGGGTGTGGAAACAGGAGCAGATGAGGGAGAGCAGAGACAGCTCCTTCATTTTCTCCTTGTAAGCTGAAAAACATGAAATATTAGAGAAGAGTCTAATGGCAGCAGCAGCTCTTTTACATGGAGAAATGAAGCAAGTTCATACAGGAAACCCCATTTGCAGTTACCAGACTCTATGGAGGCTTTTCTAGGCTGCCATAGCTTTCCAAAAAGACCCCAAAGGGCATTTGCTCTAGAGCAGGCTAAATTACCTGCCAGTGTGGCAAATGTCATGGGAAGACCCACAGTAGGAATTCACCACATCTAGAGGTAAAAGTTTCTGTGCAGGATTTTCCCTCCAAAGGAACTGGAACACTGCAGCCTGTGTAGTTAACCATGTCAGGACAGCTGCCCACACCCTTTCTCCACTGGAAGTGGAATTTCCAGTCTCTGAGATACAAGGACACCCACTGATACCTGGGAACACTGCTCAAGCCCTGGTGAGTTGGGAACATTTCACAATTCATCATTTCTGGCATGAGGACGAAGATGCAAGAGGTGGTCAGCAACGTGGAGAACAAACAGGCATTTCAGTGATGAAGCTGTTCAAGGGGTGCTGCTACCAGGGGAAGAGCTGCAACCCAACCCCCCGAGGTACCTCCTGCCCTGCAGCACCTTGGCCCACACAGGCAGAGGTTGATACTGGTCTGTGATCACAGTAAATCCTCTCCCCACAACCACAGGAAACACATAAACCCTTCAGGCTTTGTTGCTGTGAGCCCTCCAGTTTGCTCATCGTTCCTGTGACTGGAGGATGCACTGCAGTGTCCTTGGTGATCACAAGTGGCTGAGCTGCTGCCCTAATGACAGCAGCACACAGATTGCAGCAGGTCTGTTTCTGGGGCAATCTTCACCTGAGTTTAGCAGATTTAAGATAGTCAGCACACACTTGATAAAGAACCTCAGAACAGAAGGACTCGGACACAGCGAGGTGCTCTGTCAGACTGTGAGGTTCTTTATCACATCTGTGTAACCCTCACAGCATCACTCCTCTGTTGTGGGTCAGCAGCTAGTGCTCAGTGGGTGCTGCTGTCTCTCAGGTGCTGTGACGCTCTGCCCTGGACTGGCTCCTCAGGGGACACTGAGGCATGTGGGGACAGAGCTTCATGGCTGCATGTCCTGCCAAACCTGGCCTGAGACTCCTTGGCTGCCCTCCCTCCTGCCTCAGGCACAGATATTCTGGTGTCCTGCCTTGGCTCTGCCTCTGGATTTCCCATACATCCTGGTGCATCTGGCTTTGGTTTGCCCCTTCTGTACTAAGCTTCCATTTTAACCTCCAGCCAGAAGTGACTCTGCAGCTTGGCTGTCAGTGCCACCTTCAGAGCAAGACCCTCCCTCAGGCGAGGGCAGAGAAATCCCCAGAACTTTGTGATATGAATTGGCATTAGATGCAGAGCAATTTTGGTAAGAGTAACATCCTGTGTACCACATGCCCTCAGGAACAGCTTTCAGATGTTCTTTTCTGCCTTCCCACAGCCAATCAAGTGGGAAAACTGTGGTTTCATACACCTGTTTAATACTTGCACTTATTTTTCCTCCTAGGTACAGAGCTTCATTCTAATTAACACCCTCATTTTGCTAACTGTCCTCGAAGCTCAGATCTTTATTGCCTATTTTTTTAGCTTGCTCCACATTCTGATTTGAACACCCTGCCCAGTCCTGCTGTTAACTGTAAACCAAACAGGAATAGTTTACATCAGCAGTGCCAGCCAGATATCTTTGATTATGTTCTTAATGAAAAAAAACCCCAAACAAACCTCTGGAAAACCTCTGAGAGGCCAGAAGTCATGGCATGCAGCAGTAAGCTAATGCACCTCCTAATGTGCTGCCAAGAGCCCTGAGGAGGGTCCCCGGGATTAAATGAGAGACATTATCATTCATTATCATTTAGACATTATCATTTAATACAAACAAACCATTCAGCGAGGTCATTGCTCTACCATTATGTCTGGTCCTGGGTGAAAGCAAGACATGAAGCAGATGTGCCACACCCCTGACCCACTCCTTTAATTCAATTTCGTTGTCTTCCAGCACTTGTTACAGAGCACAGCGCTGCGCATTTCATTACTCGAGCTTCAGCACTGGCACTCCGTGCAACGACTCCGTGCTGCACTCCCTGCCTTTCAGGAGGTTCGTTGTGGTCATTTCACAGCTGTCTCCATTCCGTCGGGATCTTCCCTGTCCTGTTTTCCCTTCTGCAGAGCAAACTGACCGTCCCTCTCCGTCAATTAAAAGGAAGAGGACAAAAGGACAGAAGTGCCCTGGGCTGCGGCAGAGCTCTGATGAGCGCTGGAAATGCTCTGCGTTCTCCTCCCTCCGCGGAGGCTGCAGCTGCCCCCGGCGCCAGCGATCGCCGCAATTAGCGGCGCAGGATGCTGCGCGG